TGAATTTTTTGAAGATGCCATACAATATTCCTTGCAAAGAGCCATAAATTGAGCCCTAACTTGTTTATCAAATGTTTAATGGCAAGAAGTTATAAATGAAAAACGCTCAAAACCCTCCCTTATTATCCCGTTTGATGGTATAGGTTGTGGCTCTTCAGCATTTTCAACCAAAGCCTCAGGTCTGTTTCAAACCAGCTAAAAATTTGACTTCTGTTTTATCAGACTAATATCACTCTTGTCCTGCTCGGGTAAATTGCTAGAGTCGCTGATAAACATGCGACTTTGCTTCCACCTAGAGCAAAATAGCTCCCTTCAACCTTCACAGGGAGGGTTCGACCATCACGACCTCACAAGAGACATTAAATCGGTGTCCCCCAGGAGGCTATCCTCTCACTGCTATTTAATGTAATGATGAGGGATATTCCATCTGGGCCGGGAGTAAATGTGGCAGACTATGCTGACGATGTAGCCTTTTTTAAAAGTGGCCGTGACATTGCCATAGCCACAGGGAAGATCAATCACAGTTGAGGACTTTCTATGGTTGGACTGAACAATGGGGCCTGACTCTAAACCTAGCAAAACCAAATGCATGTTATTCACCAATAAAAAAATTACAGTTATACCTTTGTCTGTAGATGGTTACATCCTGGAGTTTGTTAACCAATACAGATATCTGGGAGTTGTCTTGAATGCCTCATGATCTCGATGGGAACCACAAATTCACTGAAGCTAAATTGTATCCCAATTGTGAACTGGCTGCAGTGCATCTCAAACAGCCACTGGGGTGCTGATCGAGCTATATCAATTAAATTGTATAAAATTCTTATTGAAAGTCAATTAGACTATGCAGCAGATTTCTATGGGTCTGTAAATAACTCAAATCTCTCAAAACTCAACATTATCCGAAACAACTGTTGCGCATAGCCCTGGGCTGCCACAAGACAACCCCTGTCTCTTCAATGGAGGCAGAGGCTAACATACCTCTGCTAAACATTCACCATAGAGAATTGATATGTATATTGTAATTGTATATTTAAGTACTACTTTTGCTTGATACAGCTACCCTTGTGTCCTATTGTGCCTGACTTGTTTAACCCAAACGTGGCACACCCAAGCCAGTACATTCTCCTCAACCAAGACACCCCAACCAGGCTCCCGTCGCAAGGAGCCCCTTCGTCGCCCGACCTAACCCTTATCAGTCCCCATCTGGCCCTGGATCTTCCCCCTCTGCCAGAAGTGGGGGCTGCTCTACCTCTGCCAGAAGTAGGGGCTGCTCTACTTCCCCCTCTGCCAGAAGTAGGGGCTGCTCTACTTCCTCCTCTGCCAGAAGTAGGGGCTGCTCTACTTCCCCCTCTGCCAGAAGTTGTTTATTCTTCTCAATAATAAATATATTTATTTTATTGCAATTCCAGCAGCACAAGGTCAACACTCACATCCCAAATTAATGATGTCTTGTTCGTATTAGAAAATTGTATATGAGCATTGGGCTGTGTTATCATATGTATTTACTATCAGAATTATATTTCTTGAGTGGATTACTTGTATTGCAAAGTTTTATTGCTTGCTATAAATAATAACTTCACATGAGCAGTTTCTTTATAGGCATTTGAAATTTTTGTAGTCTCTCCTGAAAGAAATGTTTTCTAAATCAGATCAAGAGAAAATAATGATGGTATACTAAAATTAATAGTAAGACGTCTAATCTTAAAATTTTACGTAATAAAAATATCCGAACTAGACATTGCAATGAGAAAATCAGATCTCAAAGGCAGACCTCGAATCCGCAATCTTCTGTGGACTTTGAACCGACAAAAGGCGGCGGTCGATTCTTTCTCAATCGCGATCTTTCTTCTGCAGCTTCATTTATGATAATCCTAATCAGAGGCATTATAAATGAAATAATAATATAATTTTTTTAACTTTCAAAATTTCGAGGTCAGCTCAATCAAAATTTCATGAATTTTTCTCTGCAGAATATTTTGCAAAATTAAATTGTCAATTTGTCACTGCTCTACTGTTTATTTAACACACGAAGGTTGTTGAATCTTGAATTGCTCTGCAAGATCTACCCGACCTCAGTTCGTAATCCCGGTGTTCGCATCAAGTTAAAGTTTTCAGCTTGCTCTGACTCCAAAAGATCTCAATATAATAATTAGTCAGGCGCCATAGATACAAAGCTGATTTACGCTAATTATTTTCTTTATTTCAATCATATGTTTAAGCTCCCCAAATGTTAACCATCGAATTAATTATCGTCGCTTTAATCATAAATTTCGCCATCGTGAAAATCTAAGCGCGTTGCACTCGAAAATTTAGAGCTCGTAAATAAATATTGGACTGCCAAAATAACTTACAAACTATAAAATTACAAACAAATAAAATCTTACATAGGTGTTGTTATAATCACAAAACTTACTTAAAGAAACACGAAGTGTGTCAGTATCTTCTGTCGAGAGTTGTCATTTGCAATCGTCTTTTTCTAAATTGTTTTCGCTAAATATGTCGCTTGACAAATGATTATTTCTTAGTTTTGTTAATAAAGAAACGTGCAGTTAAATATTTTTGACGAGCAAAACATCGAGTAGCCATCTTTCTCGTCAATGCCGAATAGTAAATCGATAAACTGGTACCTTAGGAAGTTCTGGGGCAGTGTTTTGCTTGGGTCGCCGAAGCCCAAAATGAGCAGATTTCTATTGACAGTTCATAATATTTAGGGATAACAGACAAAAAAATGAGTGAATTTTGTAGATAGAATCGTTACTTTATAGAATAACATGGGGCAAAAAGGGACCACTGCGGGTCACGGGCCCATAGCGAGTTTCCCGCTAAGTATGGCAGATATTGGCCGTGCGCTCTACCGCCGGTCGACAGTTTTACTGGGCTGCAGTGTGTGGCTCTACGTTTTGCTAAGGGTTTGTGTTGATAAGTTACTGGCAAATAACTGTTTTAGCCCAGATGAAAGTTTTTCTTGCTGCTAAATAAAACTATTTTTGATTACTCTATATGAAGGTTTGAAATTACTGTGAATTATATTTTGAAAGTAATAATATCGGGATAATTTTGAGTTCAAGTTAAACCATTAGCTTTTAAAATAAAATGTTGACACGATATAAATTGAAATGGTACCTAGTGGGGCAACGGGCCTATGCGTGTCACGGGGCAAAGCGCCCATGCTCAATAACCCTCTGTGAAGTTTTGTGTTATACATCATTAGTGGGGGTAAATTAATGAGGCGAAGGGCAATCAGTGTTGCTAAGCAACAAAATAATAATCGTCTATTTAACAAGCAAAAAAATACCTGGCAAGGATTGACTGAAAGATTTTATGGACCGGCACAATTTGAGTATTCATATTCCTCAACCAACAAGTTTGACATGAGTTGTTGACTGTTGCCTTGCCGTATGTTGATTTCAGCCAGCACCAATGAGCCAAAAGTTGATGAGTTTTTATGGTGTTGCTGAAATCATGAGTAAGTACGAATTCCCTGCACATTGTAGAGGAAATAGATTTATTCATGTATATATAGACATAAGTAGCAATGTATTAGGTATTAGGATGTTGATTTTTCATTTTTAGTTTTCAATCACCTTAGCCGTGACCTCCAGCTATGTTATGACGGCCGTAATTATGCAGCTCGCATATGTTATGACGGCCGTAATTATGCAGCTCGCATAATTTCGCACTCCTTGCTTAACACAGGAAAGAGGGAAATGGAACGATGCTTAATTAGGTATGATAGAAACCATGACTATCATTCAAGTTGGATGTCTGTGCATTTCGAATTGCTAAAGTACTGTGGAATTCAGCACATTTCTTGGTTCACGATATTTGTTTTAATTTCTATAATCCCGTACGAAAAATACTCAGAGAACGATGGTGTCGTGAACACGATTCCAACGAACGCACTGACCATTGCATCGCTGATCCTTTTTCTTGAAACGATGCTGGTCACGACTCAGGGTCCAATCACGATGAAGGTGACACCGATTCTTGACATCGCAGAATTCTAGCAGCTTGCTGGCTTCGGACCCGAAACTCATTGCTCAAATCTAGCTTTTCTGACCCACACCGCCACCTCGCCTATTTTGACTAGGATTGTCATAGCAAGCTGGGATCGAACCCGCAACACACTGCATCAATATTAGTACGCTCAACTGTAACCACTTTGCACCCTGCCGATTATAGGTCGCAGTAATAAGAATCAATTTAGAAAGTTTTAGTGAGGATCACCGGAAAGCCTCGTTCTTTTATTAAACTTTGTTTTTAGCATATTAAACTGAACTATCAGCCTAGCGATAGTATTCAAAAGTATTCAGTATGGTAAGCAATTAAGTAAGGTTAATATAAAGAAAAGTTGGGTCTGGATTTATAGATCTTGTAGTTAAATGTAGCAAAAATATCACGCTTGGTCTAAGAACACATTATCCGTCGTAGACGTTATTCCTTTCTAAATGATTAATGGCAACAGAAATGCCATCAACAATGTGACATTGTTGAACGACAGCTGCGCGATTTCCAGAGATAAAAAAAAAACTTTAAACTAGGACAAGAAAAAATGCAGAAGCACACGCAGATAATACATTTGCGGCGCTGTTTACGACAAATTACAAGAAAAAGAAAGTGAAAAGATATGAAATGGAAAGCCTAATACAATCCTGAAAAAGGCCAGAAGAAGACATCACTTCGCGTCAATACCACCACAAGAAGTCTAAGTCTAAATCACACATCCGTCTGACAAGGAATCCTTAACATATCTAAGAGCACAATCCCTGGACCTCCGCCTCTGTCCCACTATTGTCACCAAAATAATCTCGCATCAGCCCCAAAAAAAATAATCTCGCATCAGTCGAAATAAAATTTTAATAAGTTTAGTGATGAATTTTGGGTTTAATGCTGTACCAGTGAATCATCAGCACTTGAAATGCACCGTATCAACGGTCCCAGGCAACGCGAGACAACGTATCAACGGTCATAGGCAAGACGAGTCAACGTATCAACGGTTACTCATATTTGCTCAGGTTCCTCATATTCCTCGGGAAGATCAGTAATCCTCGGGAAGATGAGGAAGTCGTGGCGGAAGTAAAGGTATTCTCTAAGAGGAGCTGGCAACACGTCTCGCAAGCCTTCCGTCTTCTCTTCAATCCTGCAGTGGCCGAGTCGAGGGAGGCGCGGATGGAGAGGCGACACAGCTCCTTCAGCGACCGCAGCGGCGCTACACACCAACAAAATTCAATGTTCATTAATGCTAAGCTAATAGACCTTTATTAAAAAATTATAATATCGAGGCGTTTAAGATTAGAACGTTTGTATTTGCTGCATACACATCGGTTCATTCATCATTATGTACGTGCATGTAAGTATATGCATTCATTTAATCGCTGACTCCCAACACATCAGACGTAACCTTCTCAGCCTCTATAATAGGTGATCAACTTTTAATCACGTGAATCAATTACTTCTCAAGGCACAAATTAATAAATGGAGACAAGGACAAATAATTTGATAGATACCATAATTCAGCTTCCTAGATTAGGGAACTCCAATTAAACGTACAAATTGGGAACGCCAAAGTTTTAGTGAATACTTTCTTTGAGTGAAGTTAAGAAGGAGGTCCATTAGCCCTAAGTAAACAGCCTAACTCTTCGATTTAAACGTACCCGTTTGATTTAAACGTGCCACTACGTCTTCTGGACTATAGAGATTTTCCAGCGGCCTCACTTCGTCATCGCAACGAGACCCAGAAGGCGTAGGAGTACGAAGCTTCCACCTCGGAGCATAACGGTGAACAATGGAGATCATGAGCCGCCTACTTTCAGTAGGCGCCCATGTAATTTCTGTCTCGCTATTCCAGAAGACAGAAGACGTAACTTTTAACATCATAGAAATTTTGAACTCATTAGTCTATATTAATATTAATCCAACAAGAACCATAATTGTAAATCAGGAATTGGCTGAGAAACTCACTTCAGGAATAATTCGTGCACGCCGAGATGGAGCAGCAAAAGCACAAGGAAATGATGTCCTGCTTTAAGGCCACGCCTACACAATTCCGTCATCAAGGGCGACCTGAGGCACACAAATGAAAATAATGCGATGACGCTCGGAGCATGAGGCTAAAACACGAACGGGTAGAGTATCATATTTATAGTGGTAATGTAGATGTTTACATATGCATCAGCTGTGAAGCTACCTCGCATCGAATGATTTATTGCAAAACAGACACTTTCATCGAAATGAACCCACCTGAACCAGCACTGCCCCTCTTCACAGCAGTTCCTGGTCAGCTCTGATAACAGAATTCGATACGGTGACTCCGGCGAGTGCACAATAGCTTGGATATCAACTTCAATTTTTTGAAGACTTAGGCGACGTATGCATGGATTAGATAAGAATGCTACCGCAGATGACACTGTCAGCCGGAAACCTAGAAAGTGTTAATACGCATGTGTCTCGAGAGTTCTTGAGAGCAAATAAGTATTCATATAATCAGTCAGTTAAAATAGTAAGTTCACCAAGAGTAATCGCCAAGTAAATTCACCAAATATTAATGAAAACATTCCGGAGACCAGTTTCATGAGCAGTTCAAAAAATAAAACTTAAGAGAATATAAGTAAAATCATCAGCAGAAATCCAAATATCCAAAAAATGAACCTACGTGACGAGGAAACGACAAAAAAAAAACTCATCGAGTTACAATTTCAAGAGAATAAAAACTATACGCGTTATTAAGACAAGGTTTCCGTTTACTAATATGCAGTGATTGTAAAATCCTTGGATCAGCCACCACAAGTGCCATCGAGTATCTCTAAATGGCTCTCAGACACAGTCACGTCGCACTGTTCAGCATAAAAGCGCACAGCCAAGTGAGAAGGCATGGAAAATGTTCGAACGAAAGCTGCTACCGCGATGCTCAGAAACACGTGTGTAGACGACGTCATTCCGACGTATGCTGATGCGCAGAGCACATAACTTTATTAATAGACCAGGTTAGACAGCATCTGGGCAGGAACAACATCCTTCTATCTGAAGACGGAACCAATTTTGAAACCATTCACCAGCAAAACATGCAAATTAACATTCGCGAAATCTAAATGTCAATTTTTCTGCAGCAGAAGCGCTTTGACTCAACAACGCGTACAGTTCCTATCCCCTGGAAAATGTAAATCATTAGGTTAGATGTTGCTTTGTCGATGTCTCGTCACTAAATATTTTATCTTTTTCGTGTATATTTGGATTTTCACTGTTAATTCTACAAGTATTATCTAAGTTCTTTTAACTTCTGATGCTGGTCTCTCAAACGTTTTCATGAACATATGGTGAATTTACTAGAAGCTTCACTTGCTTTTAAATTCTTCTCGAGAATAATGTTGACATCATACATTACAAGTAGTCTTGCTTTTTATCAGCTGATGACATTCATTATTTATTCCCTGCCAAAAGACCGTATATGCCAGAAAATAGATGCAGTAAAAATCAAGCCCATGCTCCCTCCCAAATACAACACTCACCTTTCTGTTTCATCAGTGGCAGGAGCTTCAAGACGAGGGGAACCGAACATAAAGTTGTCTTGAGCAGCACAAGGTTGAGGACGTTACGATCTATTTTCGGGCCCTTCCTGCCCAGTGTTTAAATATTAAGAAAATACATAATTACGTTGTAGCACAACGAGATTTCTAAAATATGTAACTTCTTTCAATAGGGCGTCTCCCCGAAAGACTAGTCCTCACGCAAAATCGGATCCTCACAGAAGTATCATTGTAATAATAAGATTTATGATATTTCAAACGATTCAGGTGATCATCGGACGAGAACGGCTGGAGTAAATAGTCTGGCAAAGATTGTCAGCAAGTTCTAATGGGTTTCAAGAAAAGCAGTACTTTCTGTAGTTTCTTTCCTTTAATAGCACAATCGAAAGGTAAAAATACAACTTTTCACGTGTGATCGGCTGGCCGTTGGCCACAAATTTAACTCTTAAACTAGACTTGGAGCCAACGCTCAACATGCACAGCTAAACTCAACCACAAAGCTACGAAGTCAACAACGCAAAAAACGCATTCCACATCAATTCCGGCAAATCTTGAAGCCATAGCGCAGTAAGTCCACAGCCACTTCTCCCGTCTATGTAGTCATCATGGAAGCTACATCCCGGCAAGGCACTACCAGCAAACTTACCCCATATCTCTAGCTTTTTGCAGCCAATGAGGTTATGCTAGGTCCGGTTACGTTTGTTTGGATGCAGACTGGAAGGGTAAGTGTGGAGGTAGGCGCATGCTGGGGTGTAACGTCCATATGTACAGGCAGGAGCAGTGGCTGCGGACTTGCGGCGTCTATGGCTCTAGGCACCTAACTTCACGGGAAGGTGACGGGGGTATTGGGCAGTACCGGCCACTAACATGCATCTGCTTTCCACAACTATCTCCTTCAAGTCGATGCAATTAATAATTGATATTTTTACATCCATAGATAGATTGACTATATCCATAGATAGATTGACTGTAGAACTGATCGTATAGCTCCCTGCATTTACAACAGCAGTTTTTGCCAACAGCTTGAACAGTTGTCGGTACAACTTCTTGCGCCGTCTTGGTGCAGTACCTATTGTAAGACATCTGATATGATTTATAAAATTATTATTTATCAGCAATATATTCCAGAATTATTTGCAGCTTGGGTATCGCAGTAACATTCCCATTCCATTTGCTGAGAAAACTATGTTATTTCATAAGAACGGCGTACACTCACCGCGACAAAAACGGCGAACCATCTTTCGTCTCACCATCTTCCGTCAGCTAGAGGTTCAATTAATAAATAATGGTAGATAATGCTATCATGCTAATGAAAGCAAATGAACCTGCTTACTTACCACTCTGCCCACACTTCATCGAAACTGGTCAGTTCTCTGGTCAGTTCATCGAAACTGGTCAGTTCTCTGGTCAGTTCTCTGGTCAGTTCTCTGGTCAGTTCGCAAGTTGCATCCCACTTTTCGATGGGTAGACCATTGTGCTCGGCTAGTGTTATTAAATTTTCTAGATTGATCCAGATTTGTTCGACATTGACGTCGCACAAGCCGCAACACTCTTCATCATATAGCGGGCACGACCTAAGAGCAAGATAAATTCAATTATTTTTCCAGTTTGCACCTGCTTCAACAATCTAGTACGAAGTAAAAGACAAGTAACTAGTATCAAAATTATTTCGTTTAAGATCAACAATAATGTTAAGAAAGATAGTCGACCGTGATAAATTTCATCGTAAATTTTAGTACTGAATAATCAAATGCACTTTTACAGGAACTGACCTGGAACATATCAGGAAAAGCATAATCAGCAGGTCGTTCTTGTTCAATTTGCTCATGAAGATGTTCTTTGTCAAGGCAGTTATGTACCTGAAGAGAAAAATATTTTTGTTTGAACACATAAATTAAATCAATTTGTTTGAACACATAAATTAAATCAATTTGTTTTTGCACATAAATTAAATCAACGCTAAAGCGGACTAGACCTCAAATCCTTTTCAAACAACCACCAGATCAATAATGCTTTACGAATATTTTGCCAGGAATTTCAGCATTATTAGAAATTACAAGCATGACTGGATTCTATTATTATCTCGTTTCAACTATTAAAGGAATTCATTGCCTTAAAAGAAACGAGAATCTATGAATTATTTCTAAATGCAGAATTTCTCAACATAATTAATTGTGGAAAAGTTAATTGTCTTTATGCAAACACAGAAAATGCCAACAAGGAAACTTTGCATTAAGTAGATGCAAGATTTATTTAACAACCCTTACTTGTTCTTGTCTGCCCAGTTGATTCCATTATCAAGTTTTAATATCGCGCGGATTGTGAACCCAATCACGATTGAATAGTCAAACACGTAATGCTCCAGAATGTACAGAGCGCTCTCGTGGTACGATGCCGAGGCAGCAGCAACCACAACTTCCTGTCTAGGTACCAGAAATGGAACCAGTTTAAGGAAAATCGAATCTTACATCGCATTTGATCAATGAAGAATTTATTTCATTCAGAATATGGACTTATTACTTGCTATTTCAAATACCTGAGGTATAGAGTAATTCAAAATATTCACATAAGCTGGTTTTGTTAGGTCTTATGCAGCTATAGTACTCACATATAATAATCATTACAAGGGTGAGACAATATGTACGGCAATATGGTCTTCAACCTGGCCTCTGTTAGACTTCCATTAGCTATCCAAACATCAAGGTCACGACAGCAATATCCTCTACTGAAAAGTTTCCTCAGTATTTCGACATTATCCTGAAAATACATAAATATTCAAAATAGAATGCTTAAGCTCAACTAAGCTCACACCATTGTTGACAGTGTTTCCTTAGCATCTGAATTAAAATCACAGATACAAATATTAGACGAGAGGATTTTAAAGAAATCCCGACAATGAAAGAAATACAGACAATTAATAGGGAATTTGATAAAGTAATGATTGTTGAGTTCTGTGACAGGTCAAACGCAAATGGGGAAGTAAGTAGCAACTTCACCTTACAAAATCTACAACACAAAATAAACATTATTCATACTTGTATATGGGTGCTCTAAAATTTTTGTAAGTTGACATTTTATTACGCAACTGCCAATTGGGACATATATTTCACTGAATCAAAAGCTGCGCGCACCCGAGCATAGAATGTGGCTAGACCCGCATTGTGCCCAACATCCGTGGCTGTGGTGTCCGGCCCTGCGTCCAGCATTAGCTCAGCTCCTCGCCACCAGCGGTTCTGCAAGGCTGCAAAATTGGCATCTAATAATGTGCTGTTTTCACTGTAGAGCACAAAGTTCTGCTCTAATTCTTATTTGTCTAAAAAAAGGAAACAAGCCAAGCATGATTGAATGATTTTAAAAAAAGTTTTAAGCGCTGTTCAAGCAATAGAAACAAGTTGTGTGTTCAAGATGAGACTCATTTCAATTTTGTTCATATTAATCTACCAGTAAGCAGATTTTAGCATGGTTCTCACAGTGCTAAAATCATCAAGAATTCCTTATATAGATTGTATATAATATATAGATAAAACTCCTTAAATGCATTCCTAACTAAAGCTGGAGCAATTATTAAGGTGACTTACCGCACAATAAGGGCGGGATATTTTCAGGCAAGTTGGGATTTGCTCCAGCATCTAGAAGGCTCGCCAATATTTCTTCTTGAACAGATAAATTTTGCTGGAGTGAATTTAAGATAAAGTATCAGGAGAGAACGATAAGAAACAACTGTTCTCATACAGAAAAATGGAATTCAGCAACTTAAGCAAAAGCATGGAATTCAAGCAAAAAAAATGGAAAAAATAAAGCAAAAAAAATGGAATTCAGCAACTTTAAAAAAAATAAGCAGTTTAAGACTAAGTTTTGAACATCATAGAGATGCTGTAGTGACCTGACTAGTACCCTACAAGTGTGAATACTTTTATTCAGACTGTACAGAAGTTTAAAGTTATTATAATTATTCAGCAAATCTTTAATTCTTATAATCAGGCTCATACACATGAAAATTATCTTCAAGTTTGGTCTGTTTCATGTTTGGTTGTAGGCAGGCTGAATTAAAAGCATATGAAATATTCCAAGACATTATTATTCATATTTCATTATTGAAATATTCCAAGACATTAATATATATTATTATATATTAATATTCCTAGTCACCTCCAGGTCTATAGCTGAGCAGTTTCTACAGAGAAGCTGCAGAGCAGTGGATCGATATCGATCATGACTCTCCATGTTTAAGCACCTTTTATCTGCAATGAACATTACATAATAATGACTCCAACAACAAAAGAAAACAAATTATCAAAATCAGCATCAGAATTCAATGGGCAGTGAATAGAAGCATACCTAATCAAGAAAGAAAGGAACAGTAAAAGAATCCCCCATTTTTATACCCCACATGTACATAAATCCCCAACCCAAGGACATTGAAAGGAAGTGCATGGAACTCCCAACTGCAAACAACTTGACCTCCTCATGTGCAACTTGCACTCGGTTGAGAAAGCACTAAGCCACTACTAAGAGCTCAGTGGAGCCATGGTCAGGAACAATGTTACTGGAATAAAAACCCATGGGCATTCCAAGGAGCTAAAGTATGCTGCAGAATATCGTCCAGAAGGTTTAGAAGAGAAGTAGAATCTTTGAGGAACAGCTGCATAATAACAAAAACAAGCAAATGGCAATGCAAGTCCCAATCAGAAGGTTATATTTAAATTGACAAGTTCAATAAATAGTAAATTGGACTTGAAAGAATTATCTGAAAAATTCTTCTCCAAAAGAGTATCCCTGACATTTATATTTTAAATTCATAATGAAAAATCCAATATGTGATACTAGCAGCTTTAATATTACTGAAAAATAATTCATGGCTGAAGAAGAATTTTTTTAATTTGATCTACAGTAGTTATAAGCAGCATAAGAAATTTCAAAGAAAGGGTAACATCATTAACCACCAACTACAGAGAATAGAGGTAAGCAGCTATGCAAAAAGCTGTATATTTTATTCTTGGAATTGGGGATTTCAACCGAAGCATTGGTCATCCTATAATTGACAAAAAATAAATGGTTTACTTCATGAAGAAATAAAAGAACCCCAAGACATCATCAATGAATGAATTGCCTACAAGCTACTCAGGTATGAGGCATGCCATCAGAGCCAGCGTTTTGTACAGGCTGCATCAAACTTCCATTTTCTACTTAGGCTTCAGAATCATGAGAGACTTCAAGTTCTGCATCTACTGTTCTCAGTTCAACTTTCACACAGATAATAATGAATAGATTTATTATAACTCAATTACCTGCATGCATGAGAAGTATCTTCACCATTGCAAGATCATTGTACAAAACAGCATAATGAAGAGCAGAACAGCCCTGTTCATCAGGTGTGCAGAGGCTGTGAGCAATGTCAACCCCATGACTCAACAGTGAGGCTATGACTTTCTGCAACAAAAAATTATGAGTGTTGCCAGAAGCTATAATAGCTGGTTTTTCATTCAATCCATGCGTTAATAATCCAATTTTAAAAAGCTCAATTAGTTTTCTATTCAACATGGTCTCAAAACATGTAGCAGTTCCTGGTGAGCTTGCACAGCATGCAAGACTGTAGCCAACTTGCAACCTAATGACTAAACTATCACTGAATATAATCTGAAGAAGTCATATTCAGGAAGGAATGAAAGAGGGAAAACACTAACATTTTTCAAAACAAAATGAAAATATCATAATTTGATGCAAAAAATGGTTATTGGCAGACCTGTAGTCTGAATTAGACACACATGTTAGTCTGGATCTCACACCATAGCCAGAGCACTAATGACCAAATATACCTCATACAAGGTTGCTAATTCACCTATAAGCTTGGTGAAGCCCAGTAGCCAAAGTCTATGAGTTATAGAAGAACGGGTTATTTAAACCATCCCACACTGAATATTGATAATGCCTAGCCACTCTCAAGCAGCAAAAACAAGTTTAGTCACAACAATCAAGATCATCTGGATGTTGAGGCTTCCTACATAAACTTCATGACAGAAACAAGTATGGATGACCTTTTCAAAACAAAATGAAAATATCATAATTTGATGCAAAAAATGGTTATTGGCAGACCTGTAGTCTGAATTAGACACACATGTTAGTCTGGATCTCACACCATAGCCAGAGCACTAATGACCAAATATACCTCATACAAGGTTGCTAATTCACCTATAAGCTTGGTGAAGCCCAGTAGCCAAAGTCTATGAGTTATAGAAGAACGGGTTATTTAAACCATCCCACACTGAATATTGATAATGCCTAGCCACTCTCAAGCAGCAAAAACAAGTTTAGTCACAACAATCAAGATCATCTGGATGTTGAGGCTTCCTACATAAACTTCATGACAGAAACAAGAATGGATGACCAAGGTCAACATTAAGAGATTTTAGATAGTAGTTATAAAGGTATATTATATTATATATTAGTAACTTTTGAAGAATTGGAGTTGGCACTTATGCATTTATACCTAACTTTAAGACTACTACTATTTCAAATGCCTGCTACTTAAATGAACTAATCAATAATTCATAATTGCAAAAATCATATCTCCCAAGAATTTCTAAACCAATCAAGTCTAGAGCAAGATGACTCAGCTTAGAATAAAAAAAAATATTACAGCTACTTGTAATTCCTCCATACCTTGTCCTTGCTAACAGGGTTGCAAATAACCCATGTTTTTTTTAAATTGCTCAACCCATCCAGAATTTATTGAAAAGCCCATGATTTTTTTTAATCCATGCAAAATGGGGAAAATAGTTATTTTATACTTTTTTCACATATTTCATTTATACTTAGCTTCAAATTCTTTGTTATTTATGTTTATTATTAAAAATATGATGCTGAAAGGAATCAACCTCTATTATTACATTTGCCATAACTTTTAATTAAATAGATAAATAGATTCAAACAGTAAGTTAGTGATGTATCATTAACTTAATGAAACACTATTTTAAACAGTGACATATCTCTGTCAGAGACTACAAATCAATGGTAAAAATAAGTCTTGAATAAATTAACCAAGTACAAGTTCTTAGCTGTTGTCTTGTTTCACAAAACTGAGGTAGTGCAAGGCTCTTCAATGCCCAATTTTCAGTTTTTCCTTAAAACACTAAGAATTTAACTTTACCCTTTTCACTTGGTGCATAACCTTGAGACTTCTTCTATTTTAAATGCTCAATAATTAACATGATTGTACTGCAAGTTGTTTCTAACTTTTTTTAGAGCTTGTTTTATGGATTTGAAAAGCACAAAAAATATCAAACATTGAGTGAAAGACAGTCTAAGAATAGTGTATGTTAATATCATTAAATAAATAATTTTTATATAATGTTCTTTTTTTCTATTTCACATTGAGAAACTACAGTTTGTAAATTAAATTAATACCAATGTTGAAATTGATATTGAACCAACAGTTCAGGTAGGCATGACATTGAATAGTTTAAAAACCTTTGTGAAGTATTTTTCCCTAGCAAAGATGTAAACAAAATTTGTTATTGTTAAATCTTAGAACTTTAATCAATGTAGGTTTTTTAGGGGTGGCACTATACTTATGTTGGATGACAGTATTTAGCAAAGAAGCCTAATAGATATTTCCTTGGTAGCTTCTATTCAGTATTACTACACTCGGCAGTTTAAAAGTAAAAAATCAATGATGCTTTCCTAAGTTTTCTTTAAAACCCAAATTCTACACCATGACTTTATTAAAAAACTGATTTTTTAGGTTGAAAATCCTGGCGGGTGGGCATGTGAGCAGTGTAGCCAGTGTACCCTGCTAATGTCTTGACATGATAGGTGTTGCAGATACATGCTCATGTAATCTCTATACAGTTCAGCAGAAAGTTTCCAACACACAAACTCATAAACATCTATAGAGTAGACTGGTGTGCTGCTCACTTGGCCTTAATCTGGAGGTCTTTTGTATAAATGAGTATCAGGTGTAACCTGTCATGTCTAATTATCTGCTATACTGGCTTAACCAGACCAAAGGTTAGTCAATTGGTCCTGTTAACATGCTATGACAAGTTGAACAGACATGTCTTATTACCTTATATTAACCTGCTTCTGTTTAGGCTGTACAAAGGGCAAATGTATTCCTCATTGTTCTCACAGATAAATTTCTCTAATGATGATAACTAGGTAAAAATAAATATGTACAAAATTATTTATTTAAGCAAGTATGAAATTAGAATATAATTCATCATTCATAAAAAATGGAGGAAGGTGCAGCATGTACTGATTGTACTCTCTTCCTATAGTTGATACATAATAAAAATTCAACCTATGCATCACTCACATGGATATCAACTACACTGACACTCATCTGTCTGAAAAAAGTAGTAACTATTTTCTCACGCAGCTTGAATTTCAGCCACTGCTGCTTTAAAAGGCAATTGGACTAAAGGCAAATCCATTCAACTCATGTTGGAAATAAATTTATGGAGACAGCATAAAATAAATAAATTACCAAAGTGAATATCCTAATTTTAAGTGTTTTCTGATCAGTTTTCAGCAAAATGTTGGTAAAAATCCCTAATTACTTTGCTTTATCACTACAATGTAATAGCATTTTGCCCAGCCAGACTTCAAAATAAGGCAACATAGGACAAGGATACTAATTAATCACCCTAATGACAACAAGGCATGATTGTGGGGGAGGGTGGATGTCAATTATTCTTCTACATGAAAACAATTCAAGTCAATATGACTGACAGTGAATGAAAGATACAGATTGTAGGGAATTACAATTGATGATGATAGAGTAAAATAGATGATGATAACCAATGTCTAGTCTTTGGGCAGCTAAAAAATGAAAATTACAAATGATTGCTACAGGACATATTACTTGGATGCTAGACAGGCTATACCATTAAACCGGTTAATAAGGGACGGTTTTGGGAGTTTTTGTTAATAACTCCTTACCATTAAACATTTCATAGAAAAATTTGGGCTCATTTGCAAGCTCATTGCGAGGGCTATCGAACAGCGTCTCCAAAAAATTTCATATGCTATTTGTAAGGTGCCAGACACAAAACAAAAGTATCCCAAATTACCCCCTGGAATGGGGTAATCTGGGACACTTGAAATAAAACTCAATTTTAAAACATTTGAAGCATGCAAAGTGTACTCATTCAGTACTAACAATACTCTGAAGTCCTCCTCTTCATTTGTAGAGGATTTAGATGTAGTATAAATGACATTTTCTGTGATTTTTACTTGTTTTTCCTATATTGATATGATATTACCATATCCATACATTATCGTATTATTGATGTGATATTACCATTTCCATGAACATGCAATTGAGTTTTGACAATGACCTTGTCTACTGTGAGCTTCATATCAGCAGGCATATAGCATTTCCTCTGTATCTGTGGGCTTATAGAATGGCTTGCAATTTCACACATTTTAATTGGGTCAAGTGAATTCACTATAACAAAACAAAAGATTGGAAAAAATACCTGAAACAGAAAGAAATATTTTAGTGACAACCATCATACTTTTTGGAGAAATAAATCATAGTTTAGGTTAATTACTTTTCACTTTATGTTGCCCAGTGCACAATTATATCTATGACATTGATTGCCCAATTTTGTGATGACTGATGATGCATTGATTTCTTGTTGAGTGAAATTTTTTGCTGAGTTAGGTAAATGTAATCAAAATTCTATATTAACAATTGATTTTTTTGTTAACTGGAGCATTGCTTTTCGCGGTTTGGCTGTAAATGCGTTTTTAGGGGTTGTCCCATATTACCCGGTCATGCGGAAATGGCTGCCATGTTTTTTTGGAATGCGATACGCAAATTCTGTCAATCGAGTCTTTAAGCCAACACCCGTGAGCAACTTTTATGCAAGTAAAATCTTTTAATTAGGCAAATATTTTTTTTACAAACCTTAGCAAAGGTACTATTCCAAAATCTCACTTTTCACACTTTTATTCAGTGATTGTTTTAAAGGTAGTAAATGTATGATTTCTTAACTTGCTTCATGCAACATAGATAGTAAAAATGTTGAACTTTACAACACTATTTTTAGTTTTACAACATTTTAATTAGTTTAGCTGCTACAACATTTCGACGAAATGTGGGACGACTGTCCTGATTTACCCCACCCATCCCTTATTACCCAGTTTGAGGGTATTATTATACTGGAATAATTTTTGAAGAATTTAGTTGCATTTTATTCATTAACTATAGCTATCAATAATTACTTATTTTCAGGTAATGATGATATTCTTATTTAATTAGGTCATTAAAATCTAAAATGACTGGTTCCTAGCATGTCCGAAAGGATAACAGGTCATGATCTTGAGAGTTAGTCGTTTGTTGAACCTTGTAGCATTAGACAGAGAATGTTGGCAACATGTCAAGGTGTTTGAAATATCCATTGTTGAGCAAAGCAAATAATAAGTATGTTGAGCAAAGCAAATAATAATTCTAGCCAATAGACACACAGAGCAAAGTGTGTTTATA